CAAGATCTGTTCCATTTAAATCTATTTTGCATAGTTTCAGTACAAGGAAATTGTCATTTTTTCACTGTTTTTACATGCCTCAAGCAGTGACTTCTTTTACTTTCTTGCATTATCAAGATTTGTTTTAACTTGAAATGGCATTACCTCAACATGCTATTTTTCTTTTAATGTGTGTTTTTATTATTTTTTGTTAGTCTAGATGAGTGGTAATGCAAACAAATTAATATACTGAATAGGAGAATCTTTATGTCTCTGATCCCTTCATGTTAAATACTAATACGTTTAGTATTGCAAATTGAAATACACTATCATAAGTAGCCAAGTGGTTTATACAAGAAATAATCTTCAAATAGAATTAAATACAGCACTTCTCATAGGTAGCTATTTTTTTCCTCTATCATTAGAGGTCTCCAAGTCAGTGATGTTTGTCATTATATACATTATAAAACTAAAACCAATACATTTTTTCTTAAAATACAAATAAAATTTGCCTTGCATTCATGATAGTTAGAGTAGCTACTAATTGTAGACATACTCATCACAATGCTGTTTTAAAGATCCAGTAAAAATAGTATTTACTTAAGTGTATGTCAGAAGCGTTATTTTCAACCTAATAAGGAGCTATCTTATCTGAGAATTGTGGAAAGTTTAATTTTAGTTTGTGCATAGATATGTATTTAGCTGATAGATTATTTGAGAAGTACCTATCAGAGATTATGCTCATGAAAAAAAAATAAAAGGTTTCTTTTGCTTTGCCCCTGCAGAATATTTATACAGAAGAAAATGAAACAAGACTTTTATAAATCTTGTAATGAATGGTGATAGAAAAGAACATATCTTAGATCACATGTGGGGGTCTATTTCATAAATGATGACACTACCTGAAGGATACTCTGTGAACTTGAGTTACTCACCAGATCTGTAAATGATGTTAAAAAACAGTGACTTTTATGTAGGGTTTACTTACAAATGTTTATTGTATTACAGGAAATAGGCTATTGTCAAGGGATGAGTCAAATTGCTGCACTTTTGCTGATGTACATGAGTGAAGAGGTGAGAGTATAAAAGAAAAGTTTTTATTCAAGTCACTTTCATATATAAACTTGAAAGTTCATATTATCAACTAGCATAATCCAACTGGGGCTGAAACAAATTCCAACAGGACCCAACATGTTTTTCTGCAGTTAGAATAGAGTAACAATGGACTTTAGCAAAGCACTTTTTTACACAATTTAAATGTATACTTACTTTAGATTTTAAGCTTTAAGAATTATAGCAGGGGACAATTGAATTTGATTTGTTTTTATTAGTGTTTACATTATTTTTAATTAAAAAAATGATACTTAAATAGAAGAACTTCTTTTTTTTTTTTATGGTAACATGTAGTGTTTAAGTTCAGCATTTTGAATAGTGATAACATTCCCTCTTACTGTTCCCTTCTTTTATCCATACTGGATTGTTTATCTTGTAAACTGTTAATGTACTGTATTGAACATTTGGCCTAAATTGCATGAACCCACAAACTTTAATATTTAGTGAAGCTCAATATCCTTTCACTTCAAAGAATAGCTGGCTGTTCCCACTGTATTTTGTCAGGTGCAAGTCTAGAGAGCAAAACCAACATGGCATATGTATCTTTACTGAATAAATGTGAAATTCATTTTTAACATTATAGACATTCAGTAATTTAGATTTAAAATGTCCACTGTTTTGGAAAATGATAAAATATAATATTTTAAAGTAGATGACATACATGATTTTATAATGAAAGCAATCAAAGTAAGGAAAATCTTTGTCCCAATAGTCTAAAACAAGTGTTCTGTCATTGCTTTAAAAGCTAATGTAAAATGATAACCATATGCTTATCATAAAATATCGGACTTGAAGTTTTATAATGAACCAGAATTGGATTTGAAAATGATGTTATAAAGTACATTATGAAATTTTTTATAAAGACATTATTGTTATTTGCTCAGAGGTTTATTTTATTTTACAGTACTTCTGAACACTTTATTTCAGGATGCCTTCTGGTCACTTTCTGTCTTAATGACAAGTGAAAAACATGCTATGCATGGTGAGTCAGCTTACAGTTTGATTCTATACTGTATACTTAAATATATGGATAACCATTTGAAACTGCTCACTTTGGTTCTGTAAGATATTATGTATTTATACTTGAATAATTACTTAAATTTCTGTTATTAGTTAAGTTATTTTACAGGTTTTATTTTATACAATGTGCTATACATTTATTTGTAAGTATATTTTTGTGTAATAAGTATAATAGTCTCCGTGTACTAATAGTTCATATTTAGTTAGAAAATATATAATATGTGTGCACTCTTCCTTGCAAACCTGATCACTCGTACAATTGTTGCAACTTTAGAATGCTACATGATGTTGATTTGTCTATGTTCATTTAAAGTATCTGTCTCCCAGTAGTATTGATAAATTTTAAGTTGACTCTAGCATTGTGACATTTGACCTGTAATGTATGTTTCTAGCTAATTTGTTGCAACTGTGTGTACAGATACACACACAAATACAAACACCAATTTGTGATTTATTGATGTAGGCTTACAGGGATATTGAACTTTCCTCATTGTGACAGTAGGCCAGTACTAAACCGTTTATATTAAGCTAGCCTAATAATTTTAATATTGGCCTACCATCAATACAAGACAAATTCAGTTCCCTGAAAGTTGATTTGTAAGTAACAAATTCTTGAAAATGTAAGGCATATGTGCGTATGTGTGATGAATGGAAATGAAAAATTAATTTTCAAATTAAGCATTCTCGATAATTGTTGGGGATTTAAATATCATCACATATATCTTCTCTAGGTTTAACTTTATTATAATGTGTTTGTGTAGCATACCAGTGCACTTCTACATAAACATAAACGTAATTTGAATTTCTTCTGTACACAGAACCATAGTCATTAGCTTTAATTGTAGTAACAAAATAGTGAATCTTTTTTCTTGTATCTATCAAACTCTTAAGAATTTACATATAGAATAGATTTGTTTAATGACATAGTGTATGTGTGAAATGTTTCTTTGTATGACTTCTGTAAAGCTTAATTAAACAATCACTGTGGTTGTAGAAAAGTTCAGTTACTCGGTTTGTTTAAGTAAAACCTAGTGGTTGAATAAATCATATAAATGATACATATGTGGTTAAATATTTGTGTTTGAAGTGTGAGGAAAATGACAATATTTATTATCAGATTCAAAAATTACTCTGAATGGGTTTGGTTTTGCTGTAGCTATGAAAACAAATAGGAACATCTTTTTACAGTTAACATACAAATCGATATGACAAATTCCTATTGTTATTATTACTCTTAGAGGATGGATATCAGTAAATAACTATAGTTTTTGTAACATATAGAATTTACTGCATGTTTTAAATCACACTTGTATATAAACTTACAAGTTCAGCAAGAAAAAAAGAAAAGTGTATCAAGCTAATTTGTTGATGAAATTCAACTGGTTTTTCCTTTTCATATTACAGGATTTTTCATACCTGGCTTCCCTAAGCTTCAAAGATTTCAGGAGCATCATGACACAATTTTAACTAAATTTCTTCCCAAGCTGAAAAAGCATCTAGACAAATATGAGATCCATTCTAGTTTGTATACACTAAAGTGGTTTTTTCAGTGTTTCTTAGATAGGGTAAGTGGTTATGTGTATGGGTACTTCACCCTACCTAATATTAGACACTTATAACAAAAAAATCAAATATCAAATCATTTCAAACAATAATTTAGTAACATTTTATTCCATTAATTTTCTATTCAATCTTTTTCTACATGCATTTTGCACAAAATATTTTATGTTGTGATGTTATAGCTATTGTTATATAAAAATATTGTAACGACAAGTTGGCATCATCATTAGTGATGACAGTATTTATAACCACTTTAAACAATGAAACTTTGAATTAAATCTCTTTTTTTTTTATTTAACTGTTTAGTCTGATACTTATTTCATTCTAAAACAGTTATATCTATATGGCTGTGAATTTTAAGTATTCATGATTCTTGAAATATAATGTTTCAGGTTCCTTTTACTTTAACTCTTCGTCTCTGGGACATCTATATACTAGAAGGTGAAATGGTTCTCACTGCCATGTCATACACATTGCTTAAGCTACACAGAAGTAAGTTTAATAAAAGATTTCTATATTCCAAAGGAGATGGTGTTTACTAATCAAACTGAAATTTTCACAATTTTATTTTGCCCAGCATGGCCAGGTGGTTAGGGTGCTTGACTCGCAATCTGCGGGTCGCGGGTTCGATTCCCTGTCCCACTAAACATGCTAGCCCTTTCAGCCGTGGGGGCATTATAATGTGACAGTCAATCCCACTATTCATTAGTAAAAGAGTAGCCCACATTGATTAATTTACTAATAAAGATAAAAGATGCTAACTAACAGTATCTCTTATCACAGTTTAATGAAATAAAGTTGTTGTTTTTTTACCCAAATTAAGATTTAAAATAATCAAGCATTATTATGTTTGTGTTGATTTTACTGTTGTACTGCAAATGATTTGTTGCTGATTTCTGTAAAATGTATGATTGTTTAAAAAGTGGTACCAATAAGCAGTCTGGATAAACAGTTGTAAATGATTATAAGAATATCCTTACTGTTATGTGTAGAAACATTGTTGAAAATGGGATTGGAAGAAATAGTGGAGTTTTTGCAAGTTAAGCTAGAACAAGATTTTGGTTACCATGATGATGCTGCTGTGGATGCCCTTACAACTTCTGTTGAAGATTTACGAAAGCACAAGTTGCACCTTCCTGGCCGTAGACCAGATCACGAACTTCCACAAAAGCCATTTGGTTTAATGACTGAACTACCTGTGAAGCCACAGATTAGTCTAGGAAGCCAAGAAAGTGAAACGGTAGTATGTGTTTTGTATCTATCTATCTATATATTTTTTTTTTGCCCAGATTTTAAAGTCTTGTACTACATGTATTTATAACAACTTGACAACCAAGCTCAAGAATTATATGTGCACGTTAAAAATACTGTGTTTCCCTAATTATTATTAGTTGAATTCAGCTTTTGTAGTCATTTGTACTCTAATAAGATGTTTTTAACAAACTTTTTGCATTTTGATCAAAGTTTTCCTTGTAGTCATTATTTCATTGAAAAATTGTTTATTCATGTTATACAGGTCTTAGCTAATGGCAATCAGTCTCCTCTATGGAAGAATGAGGAATTGTTGAGCACTAGTGATTACAATTCAGGAAGCAGTCTTCAGAGAGAATCAAGGAACTCGGACAACCTCGATAACGACAATGGTAGTTCAATTGTCGATCCGCTGAGTTCAAGAAACTCTCTTGCAGGAACATCACAGACATCAGCAGCAGACTTATCTGTTATATCTGCTTTCTCTAGCCCCAACACCACATTGACCAGACATGATGACCAAGATGGTAATACCTCTCTCTGCAGTACTGATATTGACCCCCACCACCTCCATCAAACTCTCTCACTCTATGATAATGTGGACTACACAGAAAATATGATGACTGCTCTTGAGGAGTCACCAATTCTATCAAGGACTCAGTCTCCCAATGCTGTGAGAATGTTTGTGCCATACAAACAGACTGACTATCCTCTGGCAGTTTCTTCAAGTTCTTCTTCACATCATGGATTTTCACGTAGTCATTCTTCTTCACCCCCAAATGGTGATGTCACCCTCACCAGTCAGGACCCCAATAAAATTACCATCCATGTTGAAATGCACGACCCATTACACAATTCTCAGCACATAACGTGATATGGACTTCCTAGTATTGTGTATTGTCGTTTCACATTCCACTGAAAAATTTGTGGTTAGCGCTCACTAATGTAGCTTAAAATAATCATATTTAATGGTATCTGTTGACCAGTGGCTAACATATGCAACCTAGACCATGAAATAAGTGAAACCTGTTTATGTGACATACATTCCATTACAGAACAATGCTTAAACTACTTAGTAATGATGTAAAATTAAGTTAGTAATTTATAACTTTTAATATTTTCTTTCATCATTATATATATCAGTAAGTGATCCACCTGATTGTAAGACCCAAACAAACTTTATTTATACTATGTACATCTTAAATACTTTATAGGACTAACAGTTCTTTTAATCTGTTCTTGCATGATGCTATCTTGTATGACAGTGCCATATTTACTTAATATATTACTAGTTATTCTAATCAAATATTCATTTCCTAAAAGAAGTTCATCTTATGCAGTCTTGCATTAAGAAGATAAAAAAGTACTCAGAAAATGAAAGGCCAGCAAATATTTGTATATTTTTTGTATTGTTTTTCAAGTGCTATTAGGAATCTGTGTGGGAGTAAAAACTGTAGTCTAAGCCAGTTGTTTTATAAACTTGCACACAGAATATAGTCAGCCAGTATCATGACATCTAGATACTGTGTAAATAATTGTAGCTAACATTCCTCAAAGTTTACAAACTTGCATGTTTAAGATTGGGAGACCTACTGGTTTTAAAGTCAAACACTTGACTGACAATGTGTGTGTGTCACATCCATTAGCAAAAATCATGTAATGGTATCCTTCTATTGTCTCTCAGCCAGAGCTTAATAAATTTAATGGTATGTGATCACTATCCTCCTAATTTTAATATGAATAATTATAAGACTTCAAAATTTTAGCTGTATTCCTATGGCTATTGAGCTATTGTATTGTACTTGGGAGTATATCAAATTTTCAGGTGTGTAGTTATATCTTTCTTACTCATCTAGAGACATGTATGTTGATGTAGCTATTTAAACAGAAAGGATTATTCATCCAGAGGTGTATGTGTACAAGGGTGTCCACAGAAATATTTTCAGGGAGGTTGCAAAACGTATGTCTGGGATCAGCTTTTACAGTGGAAATCAACAGACTAAAAGAATATATGTTATGTGTGCTGAAACAGAAATTTCCAGTTTTAATAAAAAATTACTAACAATTTTGAGTTTAAATATGATGTTAAGTTTATGTCATAATACATGCATTTTTTGTGAAATGTATTGGGGGGGGGCAAATACCACCTCATCCCCCTTCCTGTGGGTGCCCATGTATTTGTATTAATGTAGCTGTATAAAGAGAAAGGTTATTCATCTGGAGGCACATTTGTATTCATGTAGCTGTATAAACAGAAAGGATTACTCATTCAGAGACACTGTGTACTGGTGTAGCTGTATAAACAGAATAAAATAATTACTCATTCAGAGACACAGTGTACTCATGTAGCTGTATAAACAGAAAGAATTACTCATTCAGAGACACAATGTATTCACATAGCTGTTTAAAATAGAAAGTATTACTCATTCAGAGGTGTATGTACTCATGCAGCTGTATAAACAGAATAAAAGGATTACTCATTTAGAGACACATTTGTATTCACATAGCTGTAAAAAATAGAAAGTATTACTCATTCAGAGGTGTATGTGCATTATGTAGCTGTATAAACAGAATGGAAGGATTACTCATCTAGAGACATGTGTATTCATAAAGAAAAAGCACGGATTAATAGTATATCTCATTTAACTGTGATTTTTGATTTAATATATCCAGGCATAAATGTGAACTAACACTTGTTTGATAAAATACACGTCAAGAAGTACTCTTAATATAAGATTCCATTTAGTAGAAGGATTTGTCAAACATTTAAAGTAAGTACCCATTAACCATAACATTATGATAGAGAACTTTCAAAAAATGTATCAAACTTGAATGAGACAAACACAACAAGAGTCTTCTATAAAATGGACCAAAGTATATATAATTTCTGATAATGCTTCTTTATGTGATACTAGCAACTACTGAATATTTTGTTGTTACTTGTAATTATTTCGTACTTTCATCATTCTAAAATAAACAAAAAAATGTAATTTCACAGTTATTAAAAACAAAGATCCAAGCAACATAGAAAAGTTTTATGTTTAAGTTTCACGGTTTTAATAAATAATCCTCACAGATGGAGCTGAGATAGTTGTCTACCCTAATGTGTTTGTGATTAGCTTAGATTATTTTTGGAAAGAGGAACTCTTATCTTTGCAGTTCTTCTAAAACGTTCAAGTAAATTTGTATCTCCAAGAGTGGTGAAAACTGACTGACAGATTAAATAGCAAAAAAGGTTAAACAATGAATGTTGCAAGTTTTAGTATATTTATTTATTGTATACTTTTTTTTTATTAAAGCATCTCAAAGTTGGAAGAATTAATCCAGTTAAAAACTGTACGTTATATTACATAGTCTACCCCTGTGTTTTAACAGCAAAAGCAAACAAGATAAAGTGCACAGTCAGATATGCAAGTCTTTACCCGTTTTGAAACTTAAAAACATGGAAATTGTAATTAATGCACAGCTTTGGACTTACTGCATGGGACTAAGTCCGCTTACCAGTGTGCTTGTGGTACTGTGTCTACACATTTGAAACTTTTGTTCTTCCTCATTGTGATGTGAATATTAATTCTTTACAGTTATTATTTTTGAATGTTAAGTATTTCTGAATTAAGTATGTATGTACTTGTTTGTATGTGACAACATTTTCATAGCCATTGTTTTTAAAGTCGTGGATAAAGATGGAATAAAATACCCTAATATCATATTGGCGTATGAATGGTTTAGAACGGAACTTTCATTTACACTGGTTTTGTGTCAGTTTACTATAGTGGCAAGAAACTAAATGTTGGATGTCATTTAATTTCAAGAACGTTATAAAAAAAGTTATCTAGTATTTAAAACTTGCAACTAATAACACGAAAGATAGTTTCCTGCTAAGAACTGTAGTAAACCATCATTTCCTTTAATGTTTTGCAACTCTCCAAAATAACTCATAAGATGTTTGAATGTTTTATTCATAAGTTTAAATCTAGTAAATTAGGAGCTTTACATTATTTTCTTTTGGCAAAATGATCAGCACTATATAAACAAGACTTGTTCCTTTCAAGTCGAAAGTGAAGTTCTTAAGGGCACCAAACTTGTATTCACAAATCACATGTACAATTCTAATAATTCAGTAATATCCTCACCTCATATGACAGTGGTTAACTCGCTAGATAGCGACTAATAAAGTCCAGCGTTCGAACCGGTGATATGCCGCTAAACACGCTCCGTTTTTCAACACACAAGAGTAACAGTCATTCTCTCTCTATTCGTTTATAAGAGTACCTGTGTGGACTGCACGTGCTCCTTACTGGTTACCCAACTTCTGATTAACAGTTCTAAAAACGGCTATACCTGACCTTGACATTTCTATCTTGGCCGTTAGCTCATGTGTCATGTAATGATCAATTCGAGTTGAAACTACCAAACTGTTCAGAATATACATAATGTGAATAGAGAATTTATACCAGGAATTCTCAAACTGTGATACGTGGACTTAATGTCAGTAGTATGCGAACAAAAATTAATACAAAAATTATTAAATTTGTAAAAAGCTCAATTTGAGTTTCCCTCTAATATACATGTTAAATACTTTCCTCTCTTCTAAACTTGCCCTCCGCCTGTTTTGGTTCTCCAGTGTTTTCTATACTTCAAATTAGAAAATTCATACCAATTATTCTTCAGTTATGCTAGAAAAACAACTGCATACTTCGTATTTATGGGTAAATATTAAAAAATCATTTTAGCTACTAGCTTTATTTTTTAAAGTCGAGCTTTAAAAAGGTTTAAACAAAAATTGGTACGTGTGCCTGAAAAGGTTGAGAACCACTGCTTTAGATATTCATTTAAGTAAACTCTTCTTTTTTGTAGCTCTAGAGGACGCTGTAAACCTTAAATGTCCATCATTTATTTTTCATTTGGAATTAAAAGTCTATTTTTAAAATTAAAGTTTTACGATGAAACTTGTTTTTTCTTGTCTTATTGTGTTATAAATGGAAGAACCGTTTAAAGAATACTTTAGAACAAAATATTTAATTTCAGTATTTATAATGAAAACACTTTTATATAAGAGTTTGTCTGTAGAAGAAATATGCACATTTTATACGAAGAAGATTGGTTTTGAATTTAGCGCAAAGCTACACGAGGGCTATCTGCGCTAGCCATCCCTAATTTAGCAGTAGAAAACTAGAAGGAAGGCAGCTAGTCATCATCACCAACACTTGGGCTACTTTCTTACCTGCCCCCCAGTGGCACAGCGGTATGTTTTCGGACTTACAACGCTAGAAACCGGGTTTCGATACCCGTGGTGGGCAGAGCACAGATAGCCCTTGTGTAGCTTTGTGCATAATTAAAAACAAACAAACAATACTTTCTTACCAACGAATAGTGGGATTGACCGTCACATTATAACGCCCCCACGGCGAGCATGTTTGGTGCGACGGGGATTCAAACCCGCGACTCTCCGATTGTGAGTCAAGTACCCTAACCACCTGGTCATACGCAGAGAAATCACTGTACTATTTAGTTAAAATTTCTATACCTTCAATTCTTGGTAAAATAGTGGAGAGAAAGATTCAAAGCATACGCGCAGAGCTTACAATGTCGTGAAATATGAGATTGTATGTCTATTGAATTTTTCGCAAAACTACATGAGGACTATCTGCACTAACCGTCCCAAATTTGGAAATCAAACACCACCCTCCGCCAACTCTCTTGAATTACTCTTGTTAGATCAAATACTGCGGTTTGACTGTTATTCTTATAACTCATGCACGGTCAGAGTTTGTTTGTCTCTTTCTTCTTTGCCCCGGCATGGCCAGGTGGTTACGGCGCTCGACTCGCAATTTGAGTGTCACGGGTTCGAATCCCCATCCCACCAAACATGCTCGCCCTTTCAGCCGTGGAGGCGTTATAATGTGAAGGTCAATCCCACTATTCGTTGGTCAAAGAGAAGCCCAAGAGTAGACGGTGGGTGGTGATGACTAGCTGCCTTCCCTCTAGTCTTGCACTGCTAAATTAGGGATGGATAGCACAGATAGTCCTTGTGTAGCTTTGTGCGAAATTAATAAAAAAACAAACAGACACATCATTATACTCAAAGTTTCTTAATAATAATGTTCCACAATCCATTTGTACTGATTCTTGAGTAGTTGAGCTTTAGAATAAATGCAGTTTAGAGGATGTGTTGTTTTTCGTAATTAGTTGCTGTCAGATCTTGGAAAGAAAATTTCTGCTTTGAAAGCTATTCCTGGTCTTCTTTGTTTGCTGCCTATGGGTATGATGTTCTTCAAATGTTGTCCTTTTTATTCATAGTTTTCTATAGGATGAGGTTAATTCAATTTTATTTTTAATCTAATTAACTAAAACCACACTAAGTTTTGTTACGAGGGTATCCCAATCAGGTCCGTGTCTGTCTGTGTTTCGGCGCGCGTATCTCGAAAACTAATAAACCTATGTATACGAAAATATTACACAAGATGGGAAGTCAATATGAGACAATTCTCCCCAAATTTGGTTCGGATTCAGATTATGGATCACTTTGAAAACTTTTTATAATGGGGAGATAGGAGATTTTCGCAGTTTTGGATTAATAACTCTGTACAGTTGTAATCGGATTTGTACCAAATTTCGTGGCCACATTAAGATTGAGACTCTTCATCATACCACAAAAAGTGATACGTGTCGTTGATTATTCTGGATCTGAGAAGGATTTTCTATGTTTTCGAAGGTGAACTTTGATGTTATCCAATATAAATCCATGCAAATCTCTAAAAGCAACGGTGAGCCGAGGGTATGCAATCTCTCTGATTGCTCTATTTTTGACTCAGTTTATTTTTCTTTGACAGATCAAAATGTGCAGTTCACATATTTATTCTTCATTGAGTGAAAATGTCAATTCCTATTTGTGAACGTAACTGTTTCCTTTGTTGGGTCAAGTATAGTCTGTTAGAGATCGTGCCCGGTTTATAAATCCGAGGATTCATTATTTGTGACCTATAACCACAAAATCGTTCTCCGCACTTTGCGGTCATGGGTGGGCTATAAATATTAAGGTCATATCCCATTCTTCGCTGAGACATGAGTTGACGGTGGGGTGCTGTTGACTAACTGCTTACCATCTAGCCTTTACGTTTAAAATTAGGGAAAACTATGTGCAAATAGCCCGTGAGAAGAGCTTTCTGCAAAATTTTTAAAACCAACAAAGCTTTTTTCATTTGACAAGCATCTTCAAACTCTCCTGGCATTCAACGAATTCTGTTTCTTGTGTCATGATTATTTAATCAGAATACCACATTTCAGCTGTGTTTTTTTCAAAACCTCTACCGATTGATGACAACTTGAAGATTGTGACTCAACGTTTTTGAGTATTTATTCCCGATATTTTATAAAAGGTCTGGGGCAAGCTATTCCAAGATTTTGATATTATTACTTTCAAATATGTGGATTGTATGTCCTTTGTGACAGGGATCGGAAATATGTTGTTTCAATGGTATAATGGCTTAAATAACGAAAGGAGACTCCGCTATTGTTCTTGCTCATTAAATATATTATTTATACGTACATGCACCGTACAGATAGTGTGGTATATTGAGGTGCACTGATTTCCCTTAAGAGTATTCAGGTAGGTTCCACTGAATAACAATAGGTTCTGCTAAAAATGTATTATAGAGCAACTCTAAATTATCTTACTTTAACACAGGTTGAAGAAAGAAACTAGACACAATGTGACACAAAATGAAGCAAACTTTACTTAATTCACAAAAACAATCAAAAATAGTACTTTACAACAGATGGCGCCTTTATTGGAGACAACACGCTGTATCTAGATTTGTTGAAACTAAATTAGAAATATGTTCCAGACCAAGAAAACATAACATTATTAGATGTATACATGAACCAGTTTTGCTACTATTCTCAGGGAGTACGCACTACCCATGTGATTGTTGGTTATTCCCATTGAAAACTAAGAAAAGTTATATCCTCAAGGGTCACTAGACCTATGATTGAAAAATAGTGTATGCTTTCTCATAGTACCTACAAATTCTCAAAAATATTTCCCATGAGAATGCACATGTAACACCTTAGGTGAATGACACGGAACAATAGGTAACTAGGGCGAAAGGAACTTAGCTATTGCACTGATCAACGTTTTATGTTAAACTATATACTCCTCTCTATATAAACTGTTTGAAAAATTATATATTAAACAAGAGGATAGTAAACATATATCATTCCTTATACCACATTAAAGCCTACATTAGATGTTCAAAATGTAACTTACTCCATAACACCTTCTCACAACCATTAACAACTGGCACAACCATAATTGAATTACCTAATGCCTTCAGATCCATCACTGTAAAACTCATCACTCTACAGAATTCGAGTATAATGTTTAAGATTTCAGTTTCTGATTCTTTTTGAGTTAAAGAAAAGAGAGGGAAATATTCTTTGAAGTAACGTACAGTTTGTAAATCTTAACCTTTCTAACGCGCTTACTCTCGCAGATAGATTTTGGCTATTTTATTTTTAGAATAACAAATGATATAGTAGACGAAAAAAGACTTCCCACTGCATATTTTTAGTTTTATAAACTCTTCATTCCCAGATTCACATTTTGACTCAAATGAAAACTAAAAACGTTTTCGAATTATTTTTTCACCACATCTTGAAATATACAGGATTTATCAGTAACCAATCTTTCAATTAACAATACTAATGATACTATCTATTTTGTATTTCATACGACGTTTTATAACAACTTTTATGCTACATATGCAATGATAACAATGATGGACACCTTAAACATTTGTAATATTAGATTGATTCAATGATAGTAGGAATATAGTTTAATAATAAGAAAAAGTTTTCCTGTACAACTTGTTGTTTCGTTTTTCTTTGTTGGTGGGCTTTTCATGGCTCATGGTGTCTATTAGTTAAGTCATACATGAACGCCAACTTTCAGTTTTCTAATAGAGATAGAAAAGTAGCAAGTGCTCTTATAATATACATTCTTATCTCGAATCATCAAATGGATGCTAAGGTAAAGTGTTGTTGTTTATGTGGTTTTTACATAATATGGTAATGTGTGAACTTAGGAAGTGAGTAAGTATGATCAAGACCGAGGAAGTGATTGTTTGAAATAAGAACAGGAACCGCTCTGTGCAGAGGATATGTGAACCTCCATATTAATTTAATAGTGAGGATATGTCAGTCAGTATGTAATTGTGAACCTGGATGTGGCCAATTGCTAGTAATCGTTGCTTATTTTCTCTCCTTACTGCCAATTCCTTCTTCTACAGATTAACCTATGGAAGTTCCTTTTAAAAATACCATTAACTTTGTCTAATTTATGATACAAAAACAATATATTATTAATTAATTTAAGAATCTGCGAGAACAAAATGTACATTTAATACAATGGTATTTTAAGTTAAAGTTTGTTTGTTGTTTAGCACAGAGCTACACATTGAGCCATTTATGCTGTGCTCACCACAGGTATCGAAACCCGATACTTAGTGTTAGAAGTCCACATAATTACCTCTAAACCACAAGGAAGGACTTAATTTAAAGCGATTATTGTTCTTCGATCATATATTTCAAAAGCTGTAAGTAAATAATTTTACTTAAAAACAAACCTTACATATCTAGGACTGGAAGAAAATTAATTGTTTTTTGTTATTGTTTTTCAAGTTAGTACTAAATCACAAGTTTATAACCAAAATCTAAAATACATACATACATAAGTATGTATGTATATACATGTATACGTTGTTATTAAATCCTAATAGTCGGATGTATATCATGTGTTTGTGAGAGAGATAGAGTTTGTTATCTGTGTTCTGTCGCTGCAGGTATAGAAATCCGGTTTTTAGCGTTTTAAGCCCTCAAATTTACAGTGAGCCATCGGGAGGCGATATAGGCCCGGCATGGCCAGGTGGTTAGGGCGCTCGACTCGCAATCTGCAGGTCGCGGGTTCGAATCCCCGTCACACCAAACATGCTCGCCCTTTCAGCCGTGG